TATGATTATATGAGAACTTAAAACAATAAATTAGTATCCGTCAGTTACAAAGATGATTTTATCATTATATAGTCTATAAAATGAATAACTTTGAATTTTGACCGTTATTTTTTACCAACAGGGCAAATGTAAAATCCTTCTTATCTGTCAAAAATATTACTGATATTCTTTAAATTGAGTGCCTGAACGAATCAGATAGGTAACTCTTTTTACTTTCGTGAAATAGAAAAGGAAAATAATAAAACAAGCGACAGTTCTTCCTCTTCTTGCAAAAATCAACACAATTGTCAAAAGTAAAATGTCATCAGCTTTTGACATTTCTAAATATCAGACCAATGCCGTCTCTAATAGAACAGCCTCGGAGCGAGATTTATGACGTCACGCTAGTGAGATTTTTTTTGATTTAATAAATATGTTTACAGAATACATGGAAAACATAATATATATTATCGTATATTTTGGTTTGTATTTTAAAAATGATACATATTTACATGAAATATACATAGTATATATAGTTAATTAATACAATATATATATACCTATTTATAGCAATAAATACTTTGGCAAATTAACTATGAACCATACAAATGCAGCAAATGTTTTACAATATACAAATAATAAATAGGTACATAAGATAATGGGTAAAATGTAAAATATATTTTTAAATTTTGGGGTTTGAAAATCGATCTAATTTAACAAAAACATTCAATATCTACTAATAGTGATGTATTATTATTTGCATTCACAAAATGTATATGTATATTTTGCAAGTATCAATGTTCGACATATTATATTTGCAAATAATACAATATCATAGAAAAAAGGCGTCAGCGATGGCTATGAAATAAAGATCGCTGTCATTTTATATGTAAAATTATTCTAAAATTTTTGATTTTCTTGGGATTTAGGTTCGGGAAAAACGCTGATTAAGTTTTCATTTGTTTTTTCATTATTTTTTTTGGTTTAAAAGAAAGTGGTTTAAAAAAAACATCATAGCCTTTATCAGTGTTGTCATATGAAAAAAATAATGTCGAATATAATCCAAAAAAATCACATATAAAATCACCACACACCACATTATGTTTACTGCAATTAATAAACTAATATAAACTTGTCAAAAGATGACCACGTATTTTTTTAAATTATTATTCTTAACACTAAAACTATCTACATTGACTATGGAGTACGATTACAGTCATAGTAAGTAGTAGACATTGAATGTTGTTTGTTAAATTAGATCGATTTTCAAACTCCAAAATTTAAAATATATTTTATATTTTACCCATTATCTTATGTACGTATTCATTATTTGTATATTGTAAAACATTTGCTGCATTTGTATGGTTCATAGTTTTATTTGCGAAAGTATTTATTACTATAAATATGTTAATATATTGTATTTAATAACTGTATATTATGTATATTTCATGTAAACTATATCATTTTTAAAATACAAACCAAAAATACGAGGAATTATGTTTTCCATGTATTCTACAACATATTTATTAATCCCTAGTATTTAACTAGCGTGACGTCATAAATCTCGCTCCGAGGCTGTTCTATTAAGGACGGCATTGCGTCAGCATGGCCGCAAGTTGCTAACCTAATAAAATTAACACTAGAAAAGCCCGCGGGAACTGTCAAATTCAAAGTTATTCGTTTCACAGACTATACGTAGAATATAAGAATAATAACATATTAAACGTAGAATAATCTAAGTTGCACAGAAATGTAATGATAAAAAAGTAACAAATAAAAATTTATCTGCTTCTATGAGTCCAGCAATAGTGCCATCGGGTATCTATAATCTATAACTCTCATATTGAAGACCTTAAGGAGTTAACGAATTTCTAAAAATACTGGTACGTTAACTAATTATAATGTCAATATTGCAAAAAAATTTTTTTTATTTAATTGTGTGTACCTATCTTCAGAAACATAGGGTAGCGGGTAGATACTTTCCTATGATCCCGATAGGGGACAGATCTACTTCAGGGATGCGACCCTGCCCAAGCGAGCCTTGGTAAATCCTACTCCACTACCGGGGGGGTACCTCGTCCTTGCCCCTTCAAAATCCCTCTTTACACAAATATCTCCCACATTCCCATCTGAGAATTCTTTGTCACCAGACGAAAGAACCAACAGTTGTCAACGGCATAGGATCAGGCAGGCAAGGAAAAACCACACTTCTCAAGAGCACATGATCGAGCATCATGAATTGCAATACCAGAATAAAAAATAAAAAAAAGGAAAAGAAATAAAGGCTGGATAAAAAAATTCCGTTTAAAAACCTTTCTCGAACAACTTAAACCCCCATAAATATTGGATGACTGACACCACGATTCAACTTGTTGAACAAAGGATATTTAAAGGTTATAACATGGAACAGGCTCCAGACACAAAAGACACAGCAATTTCGTCAATTAAATCGAAAAATAAAACGTTCATGTCGGCACAAGAATAAACAAATAAACGACATATGCGATGAGATAGAACAACATGCAAACTATAGCGAATCTCGAGAGCTTTTTAACAAAATCAAATATTTATCGAAAGAGTTTCAGCCTCGGACGCAAATTATTCATTATGAATATGGAAACACTAAAACGGATCCTCTGGAGATTGTTGAACTCTGGAAGAAATACTGCTTAGAGCTGTTTGGCGAAAACACCAGCACTTCCTGCAATAGTGTTGACCTTGGAGATGTAATCAAAGAACATACCATGCTAAGAACAGAAGTCCAAAGAGCTATAACTAGACTTAAGAACAACAAGGTTTCGGGAGTTGACGGCATTGCCGCTGAGGCACTTAAGGCAATGGGAAGAGCAGGAATAGTATAATAATATATGGATACATATGCTGTGCAAACCAATTTGGGATACCGGCAAATGGCTCGATGAGTGGTGTTATTCCATCTTCGTACCTATCTTTAAGAAAGGATCGCCACTAGACTGTAGTAATTATAGAACATTGCCCTGGTTCCTCATACCAGTAAAATACTCTTAACCATCATTAACCAGCGTCTTAAACCCTTTCTTTTCCCGCAGATATCAGATAAACAAAGAGGTTTTATCCCCAGAAAAGGCACTAGAGAACATCATAGAAAAAGCCAGAGAATACAACATCGAGATGTACCTGTGCTTTCGCAAGGCTTTTGATAAGGTTAAATGTAGTAAAGTAAGTAAACTTTGGACTATTTTACTAGAAATGTGCACTCCACCTCACCTCATTTATTTGGTCAAACAGCTTTATGAGAACAACAATGCTAAAATCAGAGCTAATAACACGCATGAATATGCATAAAGCTTTCATCTACAGCAACAATGAAATCATCTACGACAAAGTGAGTTTCATCATTTTTGTTGATATGTTTAGTTTGTATTTCTTAATTACTATGGTCAACTGTATTAAAACTATTCTCGGATAAATTTATTGGTTATTCATTGACAATTTTAGCTCATTTAGAATCTATGTTTTAAGCTTGAACTAAAAAGTACCAATACATCGAAAATGGCACACTGCACACTCTTGAATCTACGTCGGTCGAGACACTCATTATCTCTATAATTTTCAGAGAGTCTTTATCTTTAAGTATATCCTCCATAACCGTTCGAATACATAAGTGAACAGCAAGGCGTACGTTGTACATTCAAAGGAAAATCAATATTGTTTGCGAAACAGCCGACAACCGAGCGACTAAAAACAAACAACCCAGACGACAAACAACGTATGCGATACTGATGGCAAAAAAGAGCCTTTTGCAATCGAACAAATATGTTTTTTCCTGTGGTACGACCGCGGCTCTCGTCGGTACGCTGCCTACGCACCGACGGTTTTCCCGGAAGGCGGTGCGTGTCTGCGGCGGGCGCTTGCGACTGGAAAGTCGGTCTGTGACGCTTTGCAAAGAGCAGTAGGTCGAAGACGGCGTATGGTGGGATGTCGTTGCACCTTGAAAGGTATTCGAATAAATAGAGAAATGTCTACAGAAAATATGGAAATAAATTTTAATTTTGCAGAGGGAAAGGTCCCTATATTGAACCACTTATGCAAAAGTTTTTTTTTAAATCTCTATGACCCAATTTATTCCAAAAAAATATATACCATCATTAGAAAATGTCATAAGCGCATATTTGTTTTGAAACACCTTAAAAATCTATTTGGTTGGAAAAAAATAAAGAATAAAAATTTTAAGTCACTGGTCCAATTTGGGATCTTGGTTTCTTATTTTGAACTATAGGTTTCCTAAATTGAACCATGCTAATTTCTAATTATTTAAGGAAAAATATTTATTAAAATAATGATAACGTTCTATAGAAAGTATATATATAGGGATAATAACACACATAACATGGAACGAATCAGTTAGTCACTGTCAGAGCGATCAGATTCACAATTTATGCACCGATAAAAAATACTGTTTCGGCCATTAGTGCATTTCAAATGAGCCCATTTTTTACATGAGGTGCATCGAATCCATTCTTCCCCTGGATTGGACTGTGAAAATGGATATAGACAAACAATGCGAAGACTATCTTCATTGTCAGATTCACTTTGTGACCGAAGCAAAGGTCGGTGCCTTTTACGAGTCTTTTGCGCTGACGCAGATGACTTTCCTTTGGTGGTTTCCTTTGCGGAGGAAAATACACTTCGAATTCTCCTTGTATGGAGTGCTGGTTAGTAATGTAGTGCCATTAGAAGTGACTGTGTGTGTCTTTCGGCGCAAAACTGGCATAGGAGATATTTCGGACACAGATTTAAATTTTTGGAAAGATGATGTGGAACATTCTGCCTCCACTGATTCTTCCAAGGTAGAGGTAGATGGGATTTCCAAGGGGCTATTGACGCTAGTAGAAACTTCTTGCGCAACTGCTTGTGTTTTAGGTTCTATTTGGTCCTTTGGGGTATTTATGCAATCCATGTTATCACTGGGAAGACTAACAAACTCACCATCGTCAAAAACATTCGGATCTAAAGGCCATATGCCACATTTTGCAAAGCCGCTAACGGCGTTTCCGACCGATGCGATGCTGCTTTAGCATACACTTCTCCAAGCAGCCTTGATACTTGAAATTGTGTAATATTTTGGCTATGATTGCATGAAGCCACTTATCAGCTGCTTGGTTGTAATATGAGCTAAGGGGCTTAAAAAATGAAATATCACACGGTTGCATCCTATGTGTGGTGTGAGCTGGTAATGATATCGTAATTATTCCATTCTCTCTAGCTAGAGTTATGGCTTCCAGATTTTTGATGTGTGTTGTGTGACCGTCCATAATTAAAAGCACGTTGTTATTTTTCGACGGTTTTACGAAATTAATAAAATGCTTTAGCCATTTTACAAATAATTCGCTAGTTATCCATCCCGATTCCGAACAAGCAAATATTGTTCCTGGAGGTGCGCCTTCTTTGAGTTCATCTTTAAATCTGATGCGTTTGAAAATTAACATCGGTGGAATGTACATTCCGGCAGCATTAAAACAACAAACGCACGTGGTATTTACGCCTCGTTCGCCACTTGTTAAAGATCCTATTTGATGTCCTTTCGTCCAATAATTTTCTGTGGTCTCTGGGCTGTAGAAAGACCAGTCTCGTCGACATTATATATCTCCGATGGACCAAAGTTATGCTTATCAAAAAGAGCAGTAAGACAATCAAAAAAAAGTTTTTACTTTTTCCTTGGTAAACCATAGTGCCCTGGCCGATGAAGTAGGTTCTGGCTGACGAAGCGATAACTCTTTGTGTCGCGACATAAAGCAATAATACCACTTCTTACCGGCTTGTACATTCTTGAATCTATGTCGAATCCCATTTGCTTCAGCGACGTCGTAAGCCAGCTTTCTTAAATCACTACGGGTTATTCCAAACAGCCTCCGTTCAAGCTCCAGAACATGTTGTGTAACTATCTCCTCCTCTAATTCTGGTGGAAGATCTGCAGCACGACCAAATTTTTTTTCGCTTCCATGAACATTCTTATTCGTATCATCAATTCTTCGTTTCAGCGTTGCCTTTGGTACCTTATATCTCCTAGCTATTTCATTTAACCCGGCAGCACCATTCTGAAATGCGATTAACGCTTCATTCATATTTTGTTCACTCTATTTCCCATATTTTGCACGTTCTGTCATATTCACCTGAAATAAACCACAGTTGCTTAATTTGGACCGGTCCGATATAAGAAACTTCAAACAGTTCAATTTAGGAAACTATAACCTTGAATAATATTTATAACTTCAAAAAGGTGTTGTTACAATTATCAGTTAAATTATATGTCTAAACAATAGCTAATAGCCTGCTTAAACTGTATGTCCATTAAAAATGGAATATAAACTTACCAGTGTAATATTATGCCTTAGCGAAATTTATAACAATATTACATCAACCGGAGCAAAAACATGAAACATACGACTCTGTGGTTAATACGAAAACTACTAACGGGCGCCTCCTTACTGGTGCTAAATAAGATGTAAGCTACAAATATCGGTCAACAGAGGCCGCTTTAGTCCGTTAATATAAAAATAAAAGTGATGGTTCAATTTAGGATGCGGTCCAACTTAGGAGGCTTTCCCTATAAGTAATAATTAAAATTGTAAATCTTATTAAGAAAGATTGAGGAAAGTACAATATGACCGAGGAAAAAACGGCGATCGCTATCTGATAGCGATCTTTTTTCACAGCCATCGCTGACGCCGTTTTTTCCTAATTCGTTTCCTCGAATGACCCATGCAATTGGTCCACCTCTTTCTATCACTGTGTTTTGTGTCATATGTGTTCTGTTTTCCAAGCGGAAACCCAACTGAAAGCGGAACTGAAGAATTTGGAAGACTCCATCCGTAACCCCGAGTGGGTGTCCTCCAACGGTCTAGACACTCGAAAACGAGAAAAATCAAGGGTTTTCCTTGATTTAAGTAAAAACAATCTTCGGATTGTCACGGGGTTTCTAACAGGACACTGTCTCCTCAACGAACATCTCAGTAGGCGGAAGCTGAGAAACAACGGCGAATGCAAATTCTGTGAGGAAAATGGGGAAACACCAGAACATCTTATCACTGAGTGCGCCTAGATGCCGACCATTCGTGTCATGAACTTTGGTACGGCTGATGTCGAGGATGGAGAGCTGGCCTCTGTGGAAAGTCAGATACTGGTTTTTGTTAAAGTCCTGAGACTGTATGATGAGTTTCAAGAAGAGAGAATGAGACTCAAGAAAGGAGAACACACAATAGATCTGTAAGGTCGCGGTGATTAACTCCCCTCCTAAACATTCTACATTCTACATCTGATGATGCTAACATGGGTAGCGAAACGCGCATCCAGTGCAAAAGTAAAGTTTTTTGTTGTATTGTGGTGAATTAGTGATTGCAGAATAGTGTAATTTATTTACTTTTTTAAAAGGCTATTATTAAGGACAGTAACGTAACTAGTGGTGTTCGATGTGTTCGATGGAATACGGGCCCGGGCCACTGGGAGCACGCGATGGGCCAGTTGCAAGCCCTACGAATTCAAATTGTACAATTTTTGTAACTACAACTAAAGAGTGGAGATTTACTACAGCTACATAATGTTAATTTTGTCGTTATTATAATTGTTCAACATTACTAATTGGCTTATGAAACTTTATTTTTGTTAATTTCCTTTCTTCTTACCATATAAAAAATGATGCTGCCCAAAATCTTAATTTGGTCCCAAATGGCAGTGTGCGAATGTCTAATTTTTGGAACAAATATATCTAAATTTTGTTCAGACTACGAGTAGATGGGGGATACTTGAAAAGAGTTGTTCAAAATCTAGAGTTAGATCAAGAACATTAAAAGAAATAAACCGTATTTATTGGCGAAACATGTCAATTTACACATCAAGGGGGATAATTTTTGAGGCATTTGTTGTTTTGTTACTTTCAACCCCTTGACCCCCAGAGCACCTACCCGTAAAATTTTAAATAGCAACCCCTATTTCTTTTACCATTTTTGTGTTTCTTATAGAATTCTACATAAACTGCATTATTTTATCATTAGTTTATCGAGGGTCACAGTGCAGTACCTCGTATCATTTTTGATAGGATTTTTGAGGAAATCCAAAAAATATACCTAATTTTACATTAAATTATTATTTTTTAATGAATAATTATTTTATAGAGCCGAAATATTAATGCTCTATTACCAAATAAAATATTTTTAATTATTTTTGTTAAAATATAGCTAAAATTTAAAAAAAAAATAATAATAAAATTTTATTAAAAAAGTCATATGAGGTCCTGCCTTGTCACCCTCGTTATGTAGAATTTTATAAGGAACACAAAAATGGTAAAAGAAATAGGGGTTGCCATTCAAAATATTGTCCTCCTTGATATGTAAATTGACGTGTTTCGCCAAATTTTCATACTATCATCGGAAGAGGCAATATTAAATACTGTTCGTTTTCAAATTGTCACCCTGTATATTATAAATATAGGGTTTCAAAGGTCTGAAAAAGTACTTGAAAGCGCCTCGAATCTTAGAAATCAGTTCGATAAATTGAAAAATGAAACTGATAATTTTGCAACTGAGTGAAACATTGCAGTACGATTTAGTAGTAAAGTAATAAAATGATCAAGACTATATTTTGATGAAAAAAATAATCAAAATGTCCTCGAAACAAGACAAAATGTCTTTTCCGGCTTATAGGAAGTAAAAAGGACTTTAAAATGTGAACGAAATTTGTAGGTATTTTCCAACTAATTCCGATGTAGGGTTAGGACAGGAAGCAAAAATGCTTCAGAACAAATACCTTGAAGCCATATCAGAACATTTTCCAAAATAATATGCTTGGTTTTAATATGCATGTCGATTTTTTATCTATATGATTTATGTTGGAAATATAAGCATTGCGTTTCTTTTAGAAAACTATACAGGGTGGTCCGAACTGTATTCCGGAAATTTCGGCAGCATAAGTACGTATAAATATATGTCCTAAAATGCTTAGTTTCGGATATACAGGGTGTACAAATATCATTTTTATTTTCATTTTTTTTAAGTAACGTCAATATTTGGATGAAAATTGGTGTCTGGAAGTTTTTTTGAAATGAGAAATTTGATTTTGATGTCAATATGACTCCCATTTGTAGGGGGGGCCACCTACATGTGTTTTAAGTGTTTTGAAGGGTAATGAATTTTCGTCCGTACCTGTATAAAACTACTGAGTAAAAAAATATACATTTCCGTGATTTTTTATGTAAAAAGTGTCTCTTGGTAAAAGTCGCTACGAGGAACCGTTCTTAAAATATTTAGAATGGAAATAGTCAAGACATGTCATTATTGACTAAAAATAAACATGTTGAATAGATAGTTATTTGATTGAAATGGTAAATTTGGGAACTTTTATTTTTTTTTAATTAATCATAAAAAAATGACGATAAAAGAGTTTCTATTGAACTTTTGACACAAAAACATTTCAAATTTATGATTTCAGTCTAATAACTATTTAGCCAACAAGTTTAGTTTATGTCAGTGATGACATGTATTGATAATTTCGATTCCAAATATCTCGACAACCATTACTCGTAGCGATTTTTACCAAGAGACCTTTTTTACGTAAGAAACGTCTTAAGTGAATATTTCTTTACTCACTAGTTTTATACAGGTACAGACGAAAAATTATTACTCTTCAAACTAGTTAAAAATATGTAGGTGTAGGTATATCAGTATCTCTCCTCCAAAGAATATACCTAGCTAGAAACTCTCCTCTACAAGTAGGTGTCATACTGATAACAAAATCAAATTTCTCATGTCAAAAAACTCCTAGACACCAAGTGTCATCAAAATGAACATTGACGTTACTTCAAAAATTATTTGGAAAAAATCGAAATAAAAATGAAACTACTACCCCTACTTTTTTACTTATTTTTATCTGCAGAATATCCTGCCGAAGTTTCCGGAATACAGTTTGGACCACCCTGTATATAGTAATAATATAAAGAAGTGTTGTCTTTTATATTAAAAAATTATTATTTGCTAAGGGTTCAAGGGGCCCAATAAATACTTGAACACGGGCCCGCGACTTGCTCGCTACTGATTAAGGATATTATAAACCTTTATTTCGCCATCTTTTTTAACGCGTCTAGCGCTATTATCGTACTTCCGCAGATGACGTGAGGCGCTGACAAATGGACACTAACGTAGAGTCGCACAAGTTCCGAAGGCCACTTCATTTAAAAGAGACAGACAAACGAGCAAATAAAATCGCTAAATATATTCATTTGTCAATAGGAATATGCAGCTGACGACGAATGTTGTTTCATGCTAATTTTATTGGGTTTTAGGGAACACGAACAAAAAGGAAGAACAATGGCATATGGAAGGTGGCATCTTAATAAGCTACTGGTTTTGTGGTTTTGTTTCGATATTGTGTCGAGATATTTTTGGATATATCATTTTACTTTTACCTGAATAGAATACATCTTCATAATTTATAGTTCTAAAATAGATTTTTT